AGATCTCAGTCGTCTTTGCTGAATGAATGTATGGATTGTCTGCAGTCACCTATGTCTGCCCAAGTTCCAGGATTGCTCCAAGTCAGATTCGCTGCCCCAGCCCAGCCCTTGGTTATCACACCTGTCTCCTGTCCTGACCTGCTAGGTCAAGAGCCCCTCAGATGCTTGAAGATCCCCAGGCCCCCTAAATGGCCTCTCCTGCTAGGTTAGGCTGCACCCCACCCTCTCATGGGGTAAACCGTAAGGGAGAGCAGGGTTTCAAAGGCTATCAGAAGAGAATGGCTATCAGAGATGGCAGGAAGCCAGGAAGGGGGCTGGGCCAGAGAGTCTTGAGGCTCCTGGGGGCAGGGTCCAGACTGAGACTTCACCCAGCACAAGGTGGGTACAGGGCAATCAGAGGGTATTGGGAAAATGTGGCTGAATTAAGGGGGTCACACATTGGCGGCCCTGTGGCTGGGCTGCCCCAGGGAACTTCCTGTGTATCTCTGTCTTTGGTCATCTCTGGGGGTCTCTGTGGATCTCTGAGGGTTTCTGGAGCTCTCTGTGCTGACAGGCTGGCCCTGTCTAGGACTCAGGTGAGGGACCTGCTCAGCCTGTGTCAGACAGGCAGGAGAGGGAGTGTGAAGATGGGCCCTCTAGAAGCTCCTGGCTTCCCTCAGCCAGGGTGGGGTCCAGTGGAGCCCAGAGTATCCCCTCTTCCGTAGGGGAGGCAGCTGAGGCTACAGCAAGAGACCCAGACCCTAGGTCCCCCAGACCCTTAATCCCCAACATGCTCCAGACCCCAGGACCCCCCCAGATGCCAGGAATTTGCAGAACTCCAAGTCCCAGGTCCTAATCCTCCCAAATTCCAGAACCCCCAGATGTACCAAACCCCCAGCCTCCAGGTCCTCCAGACCCACCCCCTGAACCCACTATCCCAGGCCCCCAACCTGCATCTCCCCTTCCCCTTTTCTTTCCCCTCCCCCCGCCCCCACAGCCCACGTCTTTGGTGCTTCCTCATTTCTTCATTTCCTCCTATTCTAAGAGGCCTCAGCGCTGGACACAACCAACTCTTCCCAGGGTGTGGGGTGTGGGGGATGGCCACCTGTACTGAGGACCGTGGCCAGCTGGCACCCCTCCGTCCCTCTTGTTTTGAAAGGCTGAATGTCTTCTGTGTCCTTGCTGGCTGATCTCAATGTTTTAGTTGAATGTGTTGACTACAATTTGCATTCACACGAAATGATAAAATCCTAAAATAAAAAATATTAAAATGTGGGGCGGCTGGTTAGCTCAGGTGGTTAGAGCGCAGGCTCATAACACCAAGGTTGCCAGTTCGATTCCCACATGGGCTGCAGAGCTGCGCCCTCCACAACTAGATTGAAGACAGCTACTTGACTTGGAGCTGATGGGCCCTGGAAAAACACACTGTTCCCCAATAAAATTTCTTAACAAACAATTAAAATGTACATGGTGTGGTTCTCCCTCCCATCTACTTCCCACTAAGAGGTTACTATAGGTATTTGTTTTCTGTGGTTCGTCCAAAGTTGCTTTAGGCAAATGATGTCTAGAAGAAGGTGATGATGATGATGAAGAAGATGATGATGATTTGCTTTTTCAGTTAACGTTTTCTCTTGGAGACATCAGCTGTCACCCAGGCCAACTTCCACTCCAGGGCCTTTGCAGAGGCTGTTCCATATTTTGGATGCCCTTCCCCCACCTCCTGACTTAATAAGCTCCTTTATTCTTCTCAATAAGGGCTCCTTTGATCTTCCCATTAAAAAGTTACGAACTTGCCTGCTGGATTCTTGCCTTTGTTTCTCTGCATCACTCCCAAACACCTGTTACAAATTTTTCTGATGGACCCTGCCTGTTGACTGTTTCCCTGAGAAGCTACAAGAACCCCACAGGAACAGGGATTTTGTCTACTTTATTCATGACCGTATCCACAGCTCCTAGTCCAGTGCCTGGCACACAGTAGGAGCTTAACAAAGGTCTGTGGAAGAAGGAATGAGTCTTTCCTTATTGGTTCATAGAGATCTATAATTTCGTTTTCATAACTCTGTAGCACCCCCTGGGATGCATGAATTGTTATTGATCTAACCAATCCCTTAGATTGTTTCCATTTTTTTTTCATATAACAAACATTGCTGCAATGAATCATCTCATAGCCGAGTCATCTTTTGCTTTCTTTTTTTTTATTATGCAAAATACACTTATCATAAAATTTACCATTTTAGCCTTTTTTTTTAAAGGTTTTATTGGGGAATTTGTGAAGGAAAACAATGTTGGGGAATTGGGGAAGGGGAACAGCCAAGTTGTTGTCCTTTTGTTCTTCAGTCTAGTTGTGGAGAGTGTTGCTTCACTGGCTCATGTTAGTATTATGATCATTGTGCTCTTCCCGGCTGAGGCAGTTGCTCACCGGCCATTGGATGGCCACTCACGGCGACTCACTGCGGCTCACGGCAGCCTACGCTGTCGCCGGCCACTCATGGCAGCCCAGCTCCAGGTCTAGCTGTTGTTCACAATCTTAGCTATAGAGGGCGCAGCTCACTGGCACACGTGGGAATCAAACTGGCAGCCCTGTTGTTCAGAGCTCGTGCTCTTACCAACTGCGCCACTCGACCGGCCCCCATTTTAGCCATTTTAATGTGAACAATTTAGTGGCATTTAACAAATTCACAATGTTGTACAACCAGCACCTCAATCTAGTTTCAGAACATTTCCGTTACCCCAAAAGGAAACCCTATCCCCATTAGCAGTCACTCCCCAACTCCTCCTCCTCCAGTCCCTGGCAACTACTAATCTGCTTGCTGTCTCTGTGGATTTGCCTATTCTGGACATTTCATATAAATGGGATCATACAACATGTGGCCTTTTGTGTCTGGTTTCTTTTACTCAGCATGTTTTCCAGGTTCATCCATGTTGTAGCATGTCAGTGCTTCCTTTTTAAAAATATTTTTATTAAAATATACCTAACATACAATAATATATTAGTTTCAGGTGTACACCATAGTTATTCAACATTTATATGCCTAAAGAAGTGATCGCCATAAGTCTAGCAACCATCTGACACTGTACCAGGCTATCACAATATTATTGACTACATTCCCTATGCTGTACATTATATCCCATGACTTATTTGGTTTTTTAAATTTTATATTAGTTTCAGGTGTACGGTGAAGTGGTTAGGCATTTCTATAATCTATGAAGTGGCCCCCCGATAAGTCCAGCACCCATCTGACACCCTACATAGTCTTTACAACATTATTGATTATATTCCCCATACTGCGTTTCACATCCCTTGACTACTTCATCACTACCAATTTGTACTTCCTAATCTCTTAAAATATGGAACGCTTCATGAATTTCCATGTCATCCTTGTGCAGGGGCCATGCTAATGTTCTCTGTATCGTTCCAATTTTAATATATGTGCTGCCGAAGCGAGCACGGCTTCATTCCTTTTTATGGCTGAGTAATATTCCACTGTGTGGATGGAGCATGTTGGGTTTATCCTTCATCAGTTCACATCCCCGTCATTTTGCAAACATGCAGATATTTGGGACAGTGCCAGGGTGGGATTACTGGGTCAGCAGGCACAAGTGTTCATGGTTCCGCTGGCCTGTGCCAGGGTGCCTTCCATGGGGGTGGCACCAGGAATGCTTCCCCAGCAATGTGTGGATTACCTGTTTCCCCACAGCCCGGCCAGCACAGGGTGTTATCATACTTTTGAATTTTTGCCAATCCGATAGGTGAAAACAAACGGTATCTCAGAGTTGTTGTGATTTGCATTTTCTTATTAGGAGTATCTTTGGGTGTGTTGAAGAACAATTTGCAGTTTCTGCAAAGTCTCAGTTCAAAACCTTTCATATTGACTCCTCTGAGCTTGGAGATGGAAAGGGGCAGAGTCTGAGGAAAGAGGGAAGGGGCCAGGGAGTGGACTGCAGCCTCCCAAAGTCTAGGAGAAGGCTGTTGGCGTTTATTCCATTTTACAGATGTGGAAACTGAGGCAGGGAATAGAATGGAATTGATCTTAGTCTGCCTGATGCCAGGACCCCAGTGAGGCTGAGACCCTCTCCCAGTCCACCCCTGCCCACTCCCTACTCAATCTCACTTTTGTCGCTATCCCTCAGGTCTGACTCAGGTCCCCCCCTCTCTCTGGGACCCTGGTCTCCTCCCCAAGTTCCCCACCTCCAGATCTCAGGTCACTCCAAATAAATCTCTTGACACAGTGCCCCTCCCCTGCTCACACATCTGCCTTGGCCCTGGGAATAAGCCCCACTCTCAGCCTGACTTTGAGGCCTGTGCTGCCCGCCAACATCTCCAAGCCACCAGTTCCTCCTATTAGCATTTCCACTCTAGCTACTCCACTCCTAACCACAGATCCCAGCATCCATGCTTTCCGAAGCTGCAGGGCCTTTGCTCCTGTTGTGCCTTCTGCCTGGAATCTGCAATGTATTCATTTCTGCCTGCCATTGCAACGCATCCTCTAGGACCCATGCTCAATGTCCCCTCCCCTAGGGAACCCCCCTCACCACCCACAGCATGGAGGCATCATTGTACATAAGCGAGAACACTGAGTCTATAGGGGAGGCTAAAAGCTTGGAGAGTCAAAGGCAGGTAGATTCTAGGAATTTTCAGCAAACTTCTACCCATGCATTGAAGCCTCAACTTTAATGTCTTCTCCTCCAGGAAGCCTTCCAAGACTATGCCCCTCCCTCTAGCCCTGTCCTGACTCCATGGAACTGGGGGTGTCTATGTCCAGCTCTGTCCTCTCCCTAGACTTGGTGTTCCTCTAGTATTGGGCCAGGGCTGAGGCTTCTTGGGGGCCCAGCATGGGTGATGTTTGTTGAATGAATAAATGAATGCATGGATTGGGACTCAACTGAGCTGAGATTAGGAAGTTGACGAGGTAGCAGTCAGTGGGGTTAATGGGGGTTAACTGGGTTCCTGCAAGAGGGAAGTGGGCCGCCCTTCCCCCTTTTGTGAGACTCCTGGGCCTGGAGGCCTTACAACAGGGCGGGTCTACTTTGTGTCTTCTTCATTCTTGTGCTCTGCACTCCACCAAACACCAGTTCCTCTTCCTCTGCATCACTGCGTACAGAGTCTGAGGAGCACCAGGAACCACAGAGGATCTGAGAGGGTGCTGGCCACTGTGGCCCCACATCTAGGTGAGCCACCATGCAGCCCCTCCACGCTTGAGCCTTCAAGCACCTCCCTGGTAAAGGCATGGCAGTGAGACCACAAAGCTAGGACAGAGGTTAGAACTGGGTTCTGAGCAGGGGCAGCAAACCTGAGCTGGGGGACCCCCTTTCAACAGCCCCCACTCCACCCACTCCAGCCCAGGACTCCCAGCCACAGGCAGTTTGGGGGTGGGGCTGTTTGAAGGGCAACCCCTCACTTGCTTATGAGACCACCCGAAATGTTGGGGCACTGAGCCAAGCCCAAGGGGCTCATCTGAAAGAGGGGAAGGGGCTGCTGGGGTTAGGTCTCCTCTGAACCCTGGGAGCCCGCTGGGCACATGGTATGTACCCATTCTCCGGATGCGAGACTGAGCTGGAGGCCAGAGCCAAACAGTGAGGGGACAACAAGTGAGGGGCAGTTTACTATCAGAAGTGGCCTGAGCTGTTTTGACCTACAAAAAAAAAAAGTAATAATAAACTCAAGTGGGGAGGCTGAGGGTGACCACAGGCTGAGGTCAGGGCTTGGATTCTGGTGTCTCTGCCTAGGTTGCTTGAATGGGGGGCATCCTGGCATGGATGCTGTTGTTGCCACTGCTGCTGCAGGATCTAAATAGCCAGGGATTATCCTGCAATGTGTCCTCAGTGGAAGTGAACTGGACGATGGAATTCACGGACACATGCTTGAACTTCAGTGGTCAAGGTTTGAGCCTGCCCCGGAACAGGTTTCTGCAGGCCAGCAACGTGCTTCTCCTTGACCTCTCTGGGAACCGCCTTCAAAGGCTCCCGTTTTTCTTCTTCTCTCGCCTGGAGAAGCTGCAGATCCTGAATGTGACAGACAACCCCCTGGACTCTGTGGACTCAGAGCTGGCAGAACGCTGCGACCTTGACCTGAGGGCTGATTGCCTCTGTATCCTAGACCCTTGGCATAAGGTCCGGCGGGACAACTGCTCTGGCCAGCTGCCTCTGCAGTGCCTGGACACAGGCACTGGTGCCTGGCACAACCTCTCTTCCTTCCTGGAGATCGGTTGCCCCCCTGGCCTCTCCTCAGCGACCATTGGGGCACTGGCGGCCAGTGGAAGCCTGTTCCTTGTGCTTGCCATTGCTGGCCCATTGCTGGCCTGGAGACTTCGGGCACGCTGGGCACCCAATAGCCGGGGCCTGGGCAAAACGTGTGGTGCTCAGCATGGTTCCAGGCCCGGCTCAGGCCGGCAGCCAAGGTACAGTAGCCGGAGCCTCAACCCTAAGCAGCCAGTGGCCACCCTGCCCAGAAGCCCCTCGCCTGACTATGAGAACATGTTCATGGGCCAGCCACCTGATGGGCATCAGTGGACCAAACATGGGTAAGTGACCCACACACATTTGCCTGCAAGACTCTAGAGCCAGACAGTCAGGGTTCAAATCCCAGCTCTGCTTATTGCATGCTGTGTGATCTTGGGCAAGTGGTTTCCCCTCTCTGAGCCTCAGTTTCCTTCCCTGTAAAATGGGAATAATCGCAGCCCCCACTTCATGACCTACAAACCCAGTTTCTGGCCACCAAGAATGGGGAGAGAGGAGGCAGGTGCTCCAGGCAGAGTGGGGGCTCTGTGGTAGCGGTCAACAGCCTGGGCGCAGATCTCTTGTGACCCAGAGCAGTCTCTGAACCTCCATTTCCGTCTCTGTGTAATAGGGGCAGCCCTCCCCCATCTCCCTTAGACACATGGGAGATGCAAAGAAAGCCAGCTGTGTCCCTCTTCTCCCCAAAAGCCCCAACACCTCTAGATCTGGCTGGGCTTAGATAGATGGGTTCAACTTTTCCTGGTTGGGTGAGGAGTTGAGGGAATTTTAAGGGGAAGCACCAGTAGGAACAAATGCCAGGAGGTGGGAGAGAGCAGAGAATCTGCTGTGAATAGGTTTGGAGATAGCTAGACATCAGAGTTCAGGCTGGAGGGACTGGGAGGATCCAAGCAGGGAGGGAACAGGGTCCTGACTGGTTTTGAGTGGGGAGATCCACATTTGAAGAGGTCGATGGGAGCCTATTGATGAGAAATGAGAGAATATGCAAAGCAGATGTAAATATATATGACTTAAAAGCAGAAGTGGTCTATGGTAGAAATCTGAAGGAAATAGACTTGCTAAGACAGCTTGTGCTCTGATGCTCGCCTCTGCCTTGCTGTTGCCAAGGGCTCAGGGCCAGTCTCTTCCAAAAAACATTTAGGATTGGATATGTCATTCCCACCCTACATTTTACAGAAAGGTAAGCTCTGGGAGGAAGGGGAAGACTTGCCCAAGGTCACACGTAAGTCAGAAGCAGAGGCAGGAAACAAACTCTGACTCCCAGTCCTGTCCATTCCCATACAACCATATGGTTTTGAAGAAAATCATACTAAAGTGTGAATGACTGATAGACACCACTTAAAATGGCCTTTGTTCTAAGAGAACCCAAGATGGGATTAGGAGGTTCTGGAAGCAGGATAAGTTCTCTGGGGGTCTTGCCTACCATAGCTAGACAGTGCTAAAACGCAACCTCCTCTTCGACCAATTCTATGGATGCAGAAACTGAGGCTCAGAGACTTATTTTTATATTTAGGCCACAAAGTCTGCTGCTTCAGGGACCATGGTGGTGAAACATTTCCCATCTAAAGCAGCAGACACTGGCTCCAGCCACTTGTGTCAATGTGAATGGTATGACCAGAGCTTCCACTTTTTCAAGAGGAAACTGAAGTCTATATTTTAATGTAAAAAAATGGGCAACCATCTCAACTTTAAGGAAGAAAAAAATGCTACAATGGCTCAAGGCCTTTGGACCGCAGCATAACAATGCTGAGTCCACAGAATCTTCCCTGACTCACTGCCCCAGACTTGCTTTCCTTAGAGGCTGGGAGAACCCTGCCCTGTGCTTCAATTTCCTCATATGTAAATACCAATAGTAGGAGTGGATTTGTCTATTCTGAAGTTTCTTTGCCTCTCAAAGCTGATGTGCCCACCCCGAGTACTCCTCCCCACCTGTCTGTCTATCCCCACAGGACTCACCACCCTTCAGAGGACAGCGACTTCTACATGAACTATGAGGGTCCCCAGCAGGCCTCCCAGCCTGTCTACGGCAACCTGCAGTGCCCAGACCAGGCCCCACTGGACGAAGAGGAGTATGTGGTCCCCAGGGTGCTGAGCCTGTGATGGCCTCAACTCCAGCCTGCCCCCTTCCAGGTGATTCGGGGCATTCCAGATCTCCGCTGGCTTCAGTCTCCCAGTCTGAAGAATGGGAACAGGGAAGGACTATCCTTGCAGCCCCCTCCCCAGCCTTCTGCTCTGTTCCTCAGCCCCCTGGGCTGCTGGAAGGGGTAAAGGAGAGACCCCAACACAGATACAGGAGGTTCAAGGTGTGAACTCTGTTGTCACCTTCCTGTTGGTCTGCAGACGGTGCTCAATAAACACTGTGGGGCTGACAAGACTTGCTAGCTCAGAGGGAGAGGGTTCCTTTCGGTGGGGACTTCCTGAGCTCTCAAGAATAGATCTCTGATCTCAGACCCCTGGATTTCTCTCCACCCCCAGTCCCTCCGCTCTGTCCCTCTCAGGTCCCCTTCCCAGGCACCTGGCATTGAGATTCAGGGCAGCCCATGCGAACCCCTGAGGGATCTTTGTAACTCATGTATTGAGACTGTGCCCCTCCCCTGCTCACACGACCACCATGGCACCCCATTGCCCCTGGATCCTCAGATTGATACTTGAGGCTTGCGTGATCCAGCCCTGCCCACCTCAGTGCCTTCTCCCATCTCTCTGCCCTTCTGGTCTGGGCCTCATCCCCACAAAGCCCACCTCCCTCCTGGGTTGAAAATGGCTTCATTTCCCTAAGCCATTTGTCCATGCTATTCCTTTCGCCCAGAATGCCATCCCCTTTCTCTTTTTCTCACTTTTAAACATCCTAATACAGATGCAGAACTATGGCCAAAGTGTCAGGAGTCACGAGTCCAGGTCCTGACTCCACCATTAACTCTCCAGGCCTCAGTTCCCCCATCTGTAAAACAGGGTGTTAGAATCGGTCTCTGAGTCTGTTTTAGCTCTCATATACTGAGATATCTTAACTGGTCCAGAAACAGGAGTACTGAGAGATGAAGAGAGATGCTAAAAACCAAAGAAACAGGAAGCTAGAGAAACACGGAGACAGAAAAGGATGTCCCAGGCTGCCCTTGAGGCCCATTAGTGTCAGAAGCACCATCCAATTCCCTGTCATCTCCAAGAACGCCCTGTTGCCCATTCTCTGAACCCTTCCATTCACCCCTATACCAGATTCCCAGTGAGAACTGAGACCACGAAGGGGCGGGCTCTTCCTAAGGTGCCCAGCTCCGTTTGGACATCACAGGAGTCAGGTCAAACAGCTTCATTTTTATTACCAGAGTTTAAATAAAGGTACACCCTGTCAGACCAGCCCTTCAGTCCCCAGGTTGCTAAACCCCAATAAATTAATAATAATACCAACTTTAAATACAGCGGGTTGGACGAGAGGGGGTAGACATCAGTGGTTAGAATAGGTTACTTCAGGTCCACAAGCCCATTCGGCAGGCAAGGATTGAGGTCACTTCCACTGCACGCGTGCTATCAGTGAAGGCCTAGGGCCGCTCACACGCAGTGGCAGTCCTTGGCCACGAGGTTGTCGTACGTCGTGAGTGACACGCGGCCCTGACTGTCCCGGTGCATGAGTACTACCGGCTCGTAGCTGGAGGGCACGCAACACGGCGCAGGCGCGGCCTCGGGCCTCAGGCTGTGCAGGCGCGCCAGCATTTGCGCATGCATATTAGCCGAACGGAACTGGCTCGGGCACGCGCCGCTGCACATGCGCAAGTCCAGCTCGCGCGGCGATATCACCCAGTCAGCCCAGCCCAAATCTTGGAGCGACGCGCGCAGGTTCTTCAAGCGGCAGCAGCGCCCCTCTCCGAGCGGGCAGCGGTTCTGGGAGCGTGCATGTGGGCTGCGGCGCCCCCTTCCGGCGCGTGGCCACCAGTGCAGCTCCAGCCGGAGCTGTGCAGAAGGCAATGCGGCCAGCAACCGCTCAGAGGGTGCCGGCAGGTGCAAGCGGATTACCGGCTCCCGGGAGATTCCAAAGCCAAGCTGACGCTGCAGCGGCCGCGTCACGTCCCACGAGCTCGTCACGTCCCACGAGCTCGACTCTGTCGGGGACAGCCTGAGCAGGGCCTGATGCAGGCGGGAGACAGTGGGGAGCCCCATAGTCAGGTTGCCCCGGGGGATGTATAGGTGCACTTGGGAGCCAGGCCCAAGTCTCACTGTGGGAGAGAGAAGAAGGTTAGTCACCCACGAGCCTACTGTGTGCCGGGTGTGTGGGTGCCCAGGCACCGCCCTGTTTTATTTGGTTGTGTTACATTTCATCTCCCCTACTAGAATCTCAGCAGGGATTTGTCTGCCTAGTCACGATGGTGCTTAGTAAATACAGAGGGTGCCAAAAAAGTGTATGCACATTTTAAGAAAGGAAAAAGCTGTATTAAAATTGTAATACTCAATATATACTGATAACCAAAGATGAATACAAGTTACATTTGACTTCTTTAATTATAAGAGGCGCTCAAAGTGGTTACCGTCAGCCTAATTTTTTGGGGGGGAGATTTGAGGGGATGAGAACAGTGCTGGGGAATTGGGGAAGGGGAACAGACACGTTGCTGTCATTTTGGTCTTTAGTCTAGTTGTGGAGGACGTTGCTTCACTGGCCCAAGTTGGCACCATCATTGCGCTCTTCCTAGGCGAGGCAGATCAGTCGCCGGCTTCTGGACGGCTG